TATACTGGTCTTACTTAAGCTACAACTTACCCACAGACTGGGCCCTAACATTTCCCACGGGCAGAGCGTTCCATGCCCGAATTACCCTCTTAGAGAAGAAGCATTTTCCTATGTGCAATCTTGCCCCAGTCACACGTAATTTGAAAAGATTTCCGCGCAAACTTATAGTAGTGGCCAGCTCAAGGAAATCGTTGGATTCTAGGCAACAATTCTTACCCCGCAACATGCAAAATGCCTGCATTAGATCATCGCATAGCTCTGTTAGCCATAAAAAATAAGTAAAGACTGGTCAATCGTGTCTCATATGAAAGGTACGCTTGGCCTTATCGTAAATGAGTAAGGTTTAGCTAGTTGAACCTAACTACTGCAATCTTCCAGGCCCGGTTCCTTAGGAGATGATAGAGAAGTCTCGGAGAAGCAGAGTAGGAGAAGGTTATATTCTGTACAGAACAATAAGGAGAATAGATAGTAGAAAGGTAGTTGACTCGGCCTGACGTTGACTTTCACCATCAGGACTGTGAGAGAGCACTGCAGTATCGCGTCCGTCTCGAGCCAAGGCGGAAGGCCGAATGAGTTCCGCCTTGCCTGCCAGCGCTGACAACAAATCCGGCGCATATCAGCAATCAGCGGTACGCAAAATCGATTGACTGATTTGACGAGGCGAGTCCAGTGTGAACCAGTAATTAGCGATGCGCAAAATCGATTAACTGATTAACTGTCACGTTGACAGAGCAGGCAGATAAGTGCTCATGGCAGCGCTGGCGGGGCAGGCTCCTACAGCCTCACACCAACTTGGTTGCGCGGGGTTGTACCCTTTCAAGGGTTTTTCGGTATTTGACTGTTTGGATGGAGAACTCCAACTAGCGTCACACAAACGTCCCAAAGACCTTACCAAAGCATACTTAGACGAACTTATCAAATAAAGTAATATCACGCACAGCTGATAAAAGGAAAAATGCAGTTAGCTGATATAAACAGCCGTGGAAATACCAATCATGATTGCGGGCCAGCACAAATACGCATTGTCTTTTTTGTTAGATCATAGCGGGTCTTACAATTTACGAATGATAGAGCACTTAATAGCATCAATCTGGGAGTTAGAAATTCCCATTCTATCATGCGGTGTAATTTTAGTATGTTTTTTAAAAATCTGTCACGACTTATGTTGTCTTCTGTAGCGTGCATAATGCCATCAGTGAACGAAGGCCTTGTCGACGTTATCCATTATGTACCAAGAAGAGCCAGGGAAGGTCGTGAAAGACATAATAATTACAACGGCATATGTACTTCAATAAGTGAAATTTTCTGCTTTTTTGTCATTACATTACAAACGGGTACTTGCCTGCTCCTTATCGTCCATGAACCAATTCAACTGTTGAATGACCGAAGCATAGCCATATGCGGTTTTGGTGACATTTTGTCGTGCACAATATCGATTATAGTGAATGTCTTTGTAGAGCAACCACTCCGGAGGTATTTCGACATTCAGTGTCTTCTTCTCTGTAGGCTCTTCTGTTGACGTAGTCTTCTTCTCTGCGGATGTTTCTGTAGACAGCGTCACCTTATTTGGAAGTTGTTCTGTAAACAGAATGTTATTCTCAGTTGATGATGCTGTAGACAGCGTCTCATTCTCCGTCGGCCTGTCTGTAGACATCCTGCGTAATAATGATTCCAGCAGGGTGGGGTTGACTAGGAATGTGGTGAGTATAAGGACAATAATTGTAAGCAAATTCACTACAAGCAAAATCCGCCATTCCATGTGCCCTGAGAGCATATTCGTACTTTTGTGGTTTGAATAAGCCAGAGAACTTCAGTTAGGGAGGTAGAAGTCGGTATCACACCACCGTAAATATTACCCTGAATTCAATTGGGCTGTTCACTCGTTGGGGCTCAAAGCTTCTCAGTCGCAATAAACTCCGTTTCCAAAAGGACGTACTCGACTTCAATCTATATATGCATATAAAAAAAGAAATAAATTACCGAAAAAGACAAGGATGAATAGAATGAACACTGTTAGCTTATGAGCCGTCGTCAGCGAGACATGCCCAACCCCAGGGGTAAGATAAATCTGCCTATAGTATGCGCTATCCGTTGGACGGCTACTGGCTGGCTCAATTCCCCTTCAAAAACAACAAGGAAACGGGCCAGTGATGCAGTGGTTAAAACATTCGTCACGGGTTCGACCTCCGGCAGGCACCCCACTTTGATTGGGTTTGACT